ATAGTTTACGGGGTAACATGATAACTAGGAATATCCAGGCTCACACAGACATGAAGCACATAAATATTATGTAAAAACTAAAGCGGTATAGTTTAATTTAAAAATAAAATTTAGATTACCCGCTTGAATGCTTTCATTTGCAATTAACAACACCCAAACTAAATTGGTTCAAACAATGTAAAGTTTCACTGGTGGTGTAACTGAAAAATGGAAATTTAGATTGCTCTTCAGGGCTTCAGTTCCCACTTTAAGAGGACTCTATTTCACATTTTCATGTGTCTTAAATTCTTTTCTGATTGGCAATTTGCTATCTCCAGTAATAGATACATGTTTCTTCATGCATAAATAAGGGAAAACACATCACTGTTTTTCACAAGTGGGAACAAACTTCTGAACCTCGATCTAACTGGATCTACTGGAACTACTCACTGTGGCTGGTATAATATTAGGCAATGACTGATTTAACTAATTGGTTAACCTGGATTACTGCTCATTCCAGATCTAACCTTCTTTGTAATGGAAACTTCTTGATAACATATAAAATTCATTTATAACATTTGGCTAACTACAAACAGTGTCATTGCAACAGAATGGTTGATCTTCTAATATTTGGTTAATGTTAAAAAGAGAATTGTATATTGGGTAAGTAACGATTTCCCCTTCCTAACATTTCCAAAAACAAAAACAAAAAGGGTGCCCAGTTGCAGTTTAGGATCTCACTAAGTATGAGTTTTCAGACTTAACTTCTTTGGGTCTATAAAATAGTGTAAAAGTAAATTTTTTACATTTAGTTAACTTGAAAATATGATGTATTTTACATGCATATTTCTAAATTTGTGGAAGTTTTGATTATTATGTTTTGTATTTTGTAAATACTTAGCCAAAAATGATAAAATCATTATTTGATATTGGGTAAAAAAAATACAGAATAAAATATCTATTAGGGAGCACTAAACTTCTAGCTGTTTCTCTCATTACTCTCCCTCAAGGAAAAAATCAGGGTACACACACCCAAACTAAATTGGGTGTGTACATACACCTGTACACACACATATATATTACACATATGTATGTGTATATATGTATATACAAACATGTGTATAAATATATATATTAATGCACATATGCAAGTGACAGGGAATTACACACCAATTAATTCATTTGCTTTTCAGTTATTTGCAGTAAGTGCTAGTCTTTATTTTGCAAAGAAAGTTATATACTTGAGGGATTGTGAATTTTCAAAGTATTAAATGTTCTCACTGGGACCCCTACCACTGTTTGCTATGCAGTGCTGGTTGTTAGGACCATAAATCTGGGCATATAATATTAAGGATAGGGTCGGAGCTGTCTGATTTGAAGCATATAAAGTCTTAACTGCCACAGATAATGTCAACCCAAATTATTATTTCCATTTCAACACAGATTATAGGACAGAAAGACATAAATGGAAATTAAAAAATAAATTCACCACATATTTCAGAAAGTACCTTTTCATGTTGAGAATAATAAATGCTTAGATGAGCCTGCAGGCAAAGTTGTTGAGGCAAAAAGCAGGAATGTCATTCAAGAAACAATTAGATGCCATCCTTGGGGAAATGGAGTACTAAAAAGGATATGCCTTGATGGACCAAATGACCTTTATTCTCTCTCCAAAAATCTCTCATGTTCTTATAATTCTAATCAAGAAATATTTCAGCAATTTGGCCTCCAGCAATGTCAATTCTTACGTGAATTATTCACCTTACCAGTTCACTGCTGAGAAAGAACCTTTCTCATAGTTCCACAAAGAGCGCATATTGACCAGATGTAATTCCCAACATTGTTGTTCATAGGCATTTTATTCACAAAGATGCCTTAGGTCTGAAATTATAAAGTGCTTGATTATAGAAAAAGGTCTTTTAAATCCAATGTGATTGCATACAGGCCCAAGCTAAAGAAGGGGGGCTTAACTAACTTCATTAATTATAGAGGGAATGAGGATTCTTAAAAATATTTTCTTGGTAAAAGTTATTTCTCAATACAGTTGATTCTTAAGGAATGTGGCATATATAAATGTTTCTTAATTATTTTGGGTGTATTAATGGACTGTATCTAGCTACTGACTTTGTTTCAATAGAATATTATAGAATTAAGAATTTTAAAATAGGGATCTAAAAGGAGGTTAATTCCAGTTGATCTAAAATCAAAATCATTCAATAATTACACACTTTTGAAAGCTGGCAATGGATACTGAATACATGTAATATACAAAATTGACTCAATACATTTGATTAAAGTTGGGGAAATCGGCTATCTACAGTCTTCTAATTTTCAATGGATTTAGCTGAATACAGAATTCTTGAGAATCCAGGGATATTGTGAAAGCTACATTCCCCCTATTATGTTCTTAAAGTGATATTCAGTGAAAGAAAAAGAACATGTTTCTATCTGTCATCTAAATGGACTCCTAGAGTTCCCTCTGTGTATCACAAATTGGAACTCAGTGGTGAACTGAGTGTTGAGAGCATATTTTCAAAAGCTAACAGAAGGTCACATAAATTGGACAGTTCAAAGCAAAAGAAACGAGAGGCTTGACAAATGCCAGTATATTTAAGTGTTTTTAAAACAAATAAATATTTTATGAATTGTTGCCAAAGATAAAAATTATATCAATTATGTTTAAAAAATATATGTTTATTATAGTGCAAATTGTTTTCACAATAGATTATATCTGTTAGTAATTTGTCAATGACACTTGTATGAAGTACTATAACAAAGCATTATACTTATAAAATTAGTGGTAAAATTTATAAAATAGTCTGTGCTAAAGAGAAAATAGGTGAAAATAATATGCTAAATAATATGTTCTGTGGACTAGCTCTTATAACCTTTTAAATTATGCAGCCATAGATAAAATAAGAGCTCAAACTGAACTTTCAATTGATGGAAAGATTATCTCCCATCTAGAAAATGAATTTTTAACATGGTGTTGAATGTATAGAGAATGGTCCTATGACATAAATTATAAACAAGGACAAAAACAAATAATTAAATCAAATAACTCTTAAACCATGCATAATCAAATCAGACCTGCTGTAAAAAAAGTAGCAGTTAATCGCTGCTAATTACAAGCCGTTGCTTGTAATAATTATATCAATTAGGCTATTGTTTTAGTCATTTATGTGATTTTTAAAAAATTCATATAAATATAAATGTTATTAAAATTAATTAATCCAATAGTCTGTAAAATCACTTTTTCTTGTTCACTTTCATTAAAAATGGCTTTTGGCCAACTATACATTAATTAAGAAATTGCATTTGGCCTTTTTGATATTAAAGATAGCTGGAAGTTAGTTAGAGGTCTTTCTTGTGAACAATGTGTATGATCACTCTGGATAATCAATCCAGTGTTTGTGCAATAATAGGATTATAATGCATAAGACCAATAGTATGCTACTCTGGTATAAAAATTAATATAAATATTTGCTTAGACTGATGGTTTCTGCATAGCACAGAATATGGTATGTTGTGGCATCTAATTTATTAGGTAAACTTCTGCCCAATCAATCAACCAATATTTCATTTATAATCTGTTCTTATTTAACTACTAAGCTTATTAACTTTTCCATGTGTTGAAGTTATTCTAAAAGCATCAAAATTACAAAGTTAATATTAAATGAAATGGCATCTTAATAAATTAAAATTTCACTTAGTTCTATCTTTCTGTAAGGGATTAACAAAAACTATAAACTTTAAAATGATGAAAAATATTATTTTATTCCATTTTATGAATAAAACAGGGCTTACACTGGATCCAACATTATAACATTTGGAAATTAAAAAAAAAAATTCAACACAATTCTCTTCCTTGTCAAATCATGCAAGTTGGTAAGTGAAAATTTTAGACTAGATAATTGATTCTAGAAATAACAAAAATACTTGACATTGCTGGAAAGTGAATTGTATTCTCTGTTTCTATTAAAGGAGGTCAAGGTAAGTCAGACTAACAGACTCCTACTGAGAAGAATTAGGAAAAACTTGGAAAACTACTAAAAAAATAACCTTTTTGATAGCATTAGAGAAGTGATAGTGAATAATGACTGATAGAGTCAATATCTAAGAGTAAAGAGAGAAGAGAGACTTATTCCCTAGAACACTTCTACTTATCAGCTCATGAATCATCTGAGAGTCCTTGAACTGCTTGTTCCAATCAGTGACAAAGTAGGGAGGCACTTTATTTAAAAAAAACCCAATGGACAAGAAGCATATGGAAAGATGTTTACTTTTTTAGTCCTCAGACAAACGCTAATTAATACTATAATGAGAAGCCTTCATTCATGCTGGTGGGAATGTAAACTGGTTATACAGATTTTGGTAAACTCTTTTGCAGTATCCAGAAGAACTGAATTTATGCTAACTTTTGATGCAGCAACTCTACTCCTCGGCCAGGACTGTCATAAATGAGTATATACTGCCAACAAAAAGGAGTTACATAATAACATAACAACATTATTTATAACTATAATCCTGGAACCCAAATCCTTATCAACACAGATGTATTCCTAAATGTTATATACATGTAATGAATACCTTACAGTGATGTAAAATAACAAATTAATATACCTAAATAACATGGATGAATCTCATAGCACATTAAATTGATGAAATAAATCAGATGTAAGTAATACTGATTGTATATTTCATATATATAAAGCAGACAACTTGTTAAACTACTTATTTATTAATAACTAAATTTATTAATTTATTAACATTAATGTTAAATGCCAGGTAGTGGTTACTTTGGTGAGAAGGGAAGGAGTAGTAACTACGAGTGGTCACCAATGAGGATTCTGGTTTGCTAATGATGCTGAGTATCTTGACCTGGAAAGCATTTATATTCTATTTTTACTTGTACCTTCTCCTTTCTTCCTTCCTCCATCCCTCCCTTCCTTCTTTTCTCATAATACTTCAATAAAATGTGCTTCAGGGTTAGATTACTCTACCCGTTGAGTCATACTTACCTGGTTGTAGATCTTGTTGAGAGTTTGAAGAAAGTTATGGGCCAAACTCTAATTCCAGGAAATTTAACAAATATCCAGGTACATTTCTTTGTTAACATTGCAATATGCAAACAAATTAGAAATTCATGGCTTCTGAGTCAACCTATGGATCAAAGAAAAAATAATCTAGAACCACAGTAGCTATATTCTAAAATATATGGTTTTGGGCAGCTAATCATTAAATACCATTAAAATTTCCTAGGGTGTCTCCTGTGGGAATTGGGAGAAGAGGGGAGGAGACAAGCATCAACCAAAAGAACACACACAGAAACACACACAGAATGAAATACAAAAAAAAGACATGTCGTAAAGGAAAAACATATTATCAGGGCAATTTAAAATTTAAAACTATTCCCCTGAAATCATCAATACAGAAGCAATTTGTGGAAATAGTCTAGTAGTGGCTTGCAAGTGGAGATGCATATGTCACAATGAATTGTGACACTTTTTCTAAAATCCATATGTGGGGCCCCAAATCTACCTTACATAAATACTGTATAATGGAAACCTCGGGGTTAAATTCAAGCATTTCTGTATTTTAAACCTCCACAGGTAATCATGATATGAACAATAGGTTAAGAATGTTAGTTTAAGGTATAAAGTCAATGCAACGCCAAAATTTATTTTTCTCATTCAGCCATACATATTAATAATTCAAGTAGCCAGTTATTTTACTTAGTTAATAGGTCTCCATACGTGATGGACAGATTCTAGGGTGGCCCCCAATGGCTTTCAATTCCTATTACTTGCTTCTAAACAACAGAACACCACAAAGCTAATAGAATGACACTTGCATGATTGTGTCACATCATGACTATTGCTAACAGGCTTGCTCCAGAGATTCTCATTGTTGGCTTGAAGAAGTTAAGTGCAAATCCTGGAGAAGCCCTCATGGCAAGGAAATGAAGGCAGCAATTACAAACTGCAGGTGACTGCTAGGAACTACAGGTGGCCTCTAAGAAAGAGGGCAGGCTCCATTTTTTTTTTTTTTTTTTTCAGCAAAAAATTGAAGCTCTTAGCCACAAGGAAATTAAATTAAACTTTCCACAAGGAAAGTTGCATTTTTTAATGTTGTCTTTTATGAATTATACATCTGGTGTCGTCTATACGAAATCTGTGCCTAAGTAAAGATCACACGAAATGGTACCTGTATTTTCTCTAGTAGTTTTATAATTTTAGTTTTTATATATGTCTGTCATTCGTTTTGAGGGTTTCTGTTTGTTTTTGTTTTTGTTTTGTTTTGTTTTGTTTTGCATGATGTGAGGTAAGGATTTAAGTTCATTTTACATCTATGGAATGTGTGTATATTTTTGGACAGCCAGTTCTTCTAGCATTGTGCATTGAGAAGCTGACCCTTTTTCATTGAATTCTTTAGCACATTTTACCCAAAATCTGTTGACCATAAATATACTGGTGTTTTTCTGGACTTCCTATTCTTTTGCATTGATTTATTTGTTTATCCTTATGACAATTTATATACTTTATTAATAAGATATGTTTTATACTAAGGTTTGAATTCAGATCATCCTTCAGTTTTGTACTTGTTTTTCAACATTGTTATAGCTCTCCTTTGCTTTTCTAGATAAATGTTATGATCAGCTTGCTAATTTACAAAACAAGAATTTTGACAGGAATTTCATTGAATCTGTAGATCCGTTTGGAAAAAATTGTCATATCATCAATATTTATTCTTATAATCAATGAGCATGATATACTTCTCAATTTAGAGATAATTTCCCTCAGCAATATCTTGTAATTTTCAGTGCATATGTCTTGCACTTCTTTTGTTGAAATTGTTCCTAAATATTTTATCGTTTTTGATGTTATTGTGAATAAGATTGCTTTCTTAATTTCATGTTTGGAAACTTCTTTTGCTAGTAGCTTAATATCCAATTGACATTTTACGTGAATCGCAACTTGCAACCTTGCTAAAACTTTCTTATAGGTTATGATTTGTTTATTTATAGTTTGGAATTAGCTCACATGATTGGATGGGAAGGTTGGCAAGTCTAAAATCTGCAGAATAGGTGGGCAGTTTGAACACCTAGGAAAGAAATTACATTGCAGTTCAAATCTGGACTGACAGAGTTCCCTCTTCCTCAAGGGAATTCAATCTTCTTCTTAATACCTTTAAGTGATTGGGTAAGGCCCATCCATATTAAGGAGGATAATCTGCTTTACTCAAAGTCTAGTAATTTAAATATTAATCTCATTTAAAAAATACCTTCACCTCAACATCCAGACTTACTTGACCAAATCTCTGGGTACTGTGGTTTAATCAGGTTCGCATATAAAAGCAAACAGCACACCAACATATATAAAATACAGAATTTTATAGTGATCAATAAATAAATTTGACCGTTAACATATCACATGTTTCCTTTATAATATATCTCCTAATCTAGCCATTCCTCTATTTATCCATTAATATATCTTATTTTATGAAGAATTTCAATAAATTTCAGGAATAAGCATATTTTCTCCTAAATTTTTCATCATGAATATCATTAACAATATTTCAATGTTTGTTTACAGTTGTAGATTTGAGGCAAAGTTCACATAAAATGCAAAATATTTAATATACAGTTACTGAGTTGTTACAAATGTATACATCTGTGTGCACACAAATTATACAGAGATATAGAATAGTTCCTTTGCATCCAAAGTTCCCTCTTTCTTTCTACCAGTCTTCCCTCACCCCTATTATATATTTGTATATATTTTTCTGTAGTGGATTATTGTTTTTTTCCTCTCTGTAACTTCATAAATATAGCAGTGTATAGTGTATAATCACTTGTATAAAGCTTCTTTTACCCAATATACTGCTTTTGGGATTCATTTATTTATTTATTTTTTCTGTTTCAATAGTTTTTAAAAATTGGTGAATAGTGTTGTGTTATAGAAATGCTTCGGGAGCACCTGGGTGGCTGAATAGGTTAAGCGTCCAGCTTCTGATTTTGGTACAGGTCATGATCTCACAGTTTGTGAGATCAAGCCCCATGTCCAGCTTTGTGCTGACAGCACGGAGCCTGCTTGGAATTTTCTGTCTCCCTCTCTCTCTGCCCCTCCCCTGCTCACTCTCACTCTCTCTCAAAAATAAGTAAATAAGCATTTGAAAAAAAGAAATATGCTTCAATTCATTTATGAATTCACCTTTGATGGATACCTGTGTTGTTTCCAGTTTTTAGGTATTATGAATTAAGTTATTATAAATATGTGCTGTGTGGACATGCGTTTTCATTGATCTGGGATGAGCTTAGGAGTGGAATTTATAAGTCATATGTTAGGTAAGTGCTTAATTTTAATAAGAAGCTGGTAAAAAAATTTCCAAAGCTGTTATGCTATCTTAGGCTCCCACTATAATGTATAGGATCTGGTTGCTCCAAACCTTCAAAATGTTTGGAATTGACAGTTAACATCAAAGAACAGATCTCCACTAATATATAAAAAGAGGAATCTCTAAATAAATTAGAAAATGAGATTTAGAAAACTAAAGTACAACGTGTTAATAAAATGGCCTGGAAATTCAACTCTAAAGAATTATGAATGGCTAATGAAAACATGATAACGTTGCAAATTATTAATACAAAAACTTTAAACTTAGACATTGGAAAGATACAGTCTTTTGGCTATTAAACTGACAATAATTAAAAAGCAAAATATTCTGTCTTAGCAGAATTTTTGGTAAATATATATTCAATGTATAGCTTGCAAAATAAATATTGGTAAAATTTTCTGGAGGGCAATATGGTCTATTTATCAACATTTCTAAAAGTACATTTGCTCATTAGGTTTGTAATTCCAAAGCTAAGAGAGACTAGTAAATAAATTATAAAAGAATGTCTGCAAAAATAAATACAAAAAGTAATTCTTTAAAGTATTATTTATGATAGTGAATCTTTTGAAATAAATAAAATGTATTATGAAAATTTGCTTAATTAAATATTTTTTATAATTGCTACTGTTAAAAATTGTGTAGTATAATAACATATATGAGTATGGGAAGTATTTAATTGTATATGGTTGTAGAAAGCAGCATTTAATATAGTGATATGTTGTTATATAGACTTACTGTCCTTTCTGTTTTGCTTGAATACATACTTGCTATATTTCCTTATTAAAAATCTGAGGCTTGTATCTTGTATTATTATTATACATAATGGCAAAGAAGAAAAATTTATATAGACTATTTTTGTTTGTTTTAATTTCATCATGAGTATGTATGGCATCCAGTAATGTGTATAGTGGTTAAAAGAAATTATGAATATGTAGCTTAAAAACCCATTTCTGTAGTTTTTTGGTGCCAAACAAAGGTCCTGAATTTTTTCCTGTAAATTAAAGGGGTTTATCTGCTCTTTTATTTTAAACCAGTGGCATGTTAAAAAAGACAGGAAGAAAAACTATGAAATTTGCACTATTTCATTTTAGTAAAGTTTAAATCTAGTCACATCAGATTTTTTCTGTGTTTCAGCTATAATGATAAAATGTTTGACCATTTTTTTACATTATGTTTATTTTGGCATTCAAATTGTGCATCAATAAGAATTAACCATGAAAAAAGACTATGCTTATTTATGTTTTTGTGCAGCATTTTTCTACAGAAATGAATTAAAAAGTAGTTTAAAAAACACTTTTATATAAAAATATAACCCTTTAAAATTTTTAATTTATTAATGGATTTACAAAAGAGAGAAATGGAAAAATAGTTATCTACTCATGATGAAACCATGAACAAATTATTAATATCATGCAAAGGATTATAATCTAATGTTCAACAAAGGATCATTTTTCACTGACCAATCTACTATGAATATTT